CGTAAAGTATGTGGCACAACAGTCTGCTCTGGGGTGACCTGCCATCCCAGTTTGTCTGGAACTACCCCAGCTTAGATCTGAAAGCCCCAAGTATCAGGAAGTCCTTAGCTAGACAAACAGAGACATCTGGCATTTAAAGCCCTTGCAGGTTAGCTTTATGAGCAGCCTTAGTGTAAGAGTTTCCAGTACGTTACACCTTCAAACTGATTCTTCTCCAACTTCAGATTTTCTTATCTGGCAGAACATGGTGGCACACACCTTTAATCCCAGCACTCAGAAGGTAGAGACAGTTGATCTCTGTGAGTTCAAAACCAGCCTGGGTTACAGTACAGCCAAAACTGTTAACATAGAGAAACCTCGTCTGGAAAAACAAACAACAAAAGCAAACAAACAAAAATGTCTTATCCAAAGTTGGAAGTGGTAACACATTCCTATAATCCATGCAGTTGGCTGCTGAGTTCAAACCCAGTCTCCCTCTCAGATCAGATGTGAGCTCTTAGTTACGTACGGCTCCAGCACCATGCCTACCTGTCTGCTGCCACACCCCACCATGATGGTCATGGACTCACACTTGGAAACTATAAGCAAGCTCCCAATTAAAAATATTTTCTTTTGGCCAAGCGGTGGTGGCGCACGCCTTTAATCCCAGCACTTGGGAGGCAGAGACCAGCCTGGTCTACAGAGAAGTTCCAGGACAGCCTCCAAAACAATACAGAGAAACCCTGTGTTGAAAAACCCAAAAAAAAAGAATGACATTCTCCATGAGATGTCTGCTAACAATTTGAGGGAAAAAGTAATTGTTATCTACTCTAAGAATATACCAGGTCATCCACTATTGTCTTTTCTACCAAATTTAGTTCCTTGCTAAGTTATCATCTGGAGGCTTACTGTACTTTTAGTTGTCAAGGAAAACCTTGGTTGCCCATTCCTCTTTAGGTCCTACAGCCACTGTGGTAATTTGCATATTGTAATGTTTTGCCAATCAGCCTCAGGTACAATTTTATACTCATTACTTATATTCATAATATATTTTACTCACACACACAGAAATAGCAGGGCTTTAGCTCAATTGTAGAGTGTATGCCTAGAATGAGCAACGCTCTGGGTTTGATCCCCAGTACCACCAAAAAAAAAAAGTTTCTCTGAAGTATGTATTACATCAAAACTCCCACCTATATAGTTAACAAAAGCAACATATCTTCGTGCACATACATGATATACATGTCTCTGTTATGGTTTCTGCTCCTTTTTTTCTCCCCTTTCATACTGTGGGTCTTAAGACTCTTGTTTTCAGGTTAGGGACATATGTGTGTAGGTCAGTGGGGTAGCACTTGCCTAGCATGCACAAGGCCCTGGACAGACTCCAGTCTCAATCCCGCAGGAAAAAAGAAGCTGTTTCCTTCTTCCTGGTACTGGGATGGCCACTGACGCTCAGTCCTGAACACTAGGCCTGCACTTGCGTCTCCAGGAGAGGCTGGTTACTCCATGTTTAAAATCTCCTGTTGGGGCTGAAGAGATGGCTCAGGGGCTAAAACCCTTGTTTTTTCTTGTAGAGGACCCAGGCTCGGCTGCATTCCCACATGGTGTCTCACAAGCATCCCTAATCCCAGCTCCAGGGGAAACACTCTTTATCTCCTTGGGTACCAGGCTGCACATGGTACACACGAACACATAGAGGAAACACTTGTACACGTAAGTCTAAAAGGCAATTTCTTGCCGGGCATTGGTGGCATACACCTTTGATCCCAGAGAGACAGAGGCAGATGGATCTCTGTGAGTTTGAGGTCTACAGAGCTAGCTCCAGGACAGCCAACGCTACACAAAGAAACCCTGTCTCTAAAAAAACAGAAACAAAAAAATTTCTTTTTCTTTAAGTTCCTCCTTTATCACTCATGGTGATGCACACTTATAATTCCAGTGCTTCCAAAGGCAGAAGACTCACAGAGTTCAAAGTTAGCTGGAGCTTTATAGCAATACTCTATCCCAAGCAACAAAACAAAAATTCCTTTGTTCAGGTAAGAGCAACTACAGTAATGCCCGACTGGACCCTTCCCTATCCTAAGCAGAGAGATTTCGTTTAGCTACTGCAGAGTGAGTTCAACCCTGCCTGTTATAAAAACTTCATGACAAAAGACTTTAAATGGAGAGAAAGTTAGATCCCTGGTCAGAGAAAAGTCTTGATGGCTCTTGCCTAAAATGATTCCCTTAGCTAGGTGTGGTGGCAAGTGCCCCTAAATCACAGCACTCAGAGATGGAGGCAGGAGAGTCATGAGTTCTAGGTTAGCCTGTCTACATAGTGAAGCCCTGACTCAAAAACAAAACAAAGGGATGTGGCCTTCAGCTTCCAGTTGGCCTCCTGCTCAGCCTTCCCTAGAACTGGACCAGAAGACACAGGAGCAGAGGAGCAGAGGAGGGCACTCACCATCACTGCTAGCTGCCTATAGGCCTTCTTCAGCTCCACATCGGATGCTGTGGCTTCAACCCCCAGCACATGAAAAGGGTTTAGCTCATCCTCAGGGACCCCAGCCATGGTCAAAAGTCGGGCCATCTCCTCTTCTGGCTGGCAGTGGCGCCCACTAGCTGCAGGTGCATTACCTTGCTTATTAGTCCTCTGCTTGACCCAAGGCAACTCCAGCCAGTTCCGCTGAACTAATCTTACCAGCTGCTGCCACGGCCAGCTATCTCGAAGCAGAGTCAAGCAACGGTGCACAGCTGGAGAATCCAGCCAGGAGAACAGCCTGGTGGTCTTATTCCTCCAGCCTAACCGATCACCCAGTCCCACCAAAAACCGCCAGCCCAGCTGCAGACAACCCAAAAAGAGGGCAAGAGTCAGGAGCAGGAACGCACCCACTAGCCTAAGAAGACGGGTGAACAGCCCTGCAGCACAGGAAAAGCTCTGGCTTAGGAACTGGACCATCACCTGGGCCCAGCCCCCCAATCTCCCTGCCCAGGCTCCCACCCAGACTCGAAAGAGGTCCAGGTCACTGCCCTTCAGCTGCCTGCATGCATAAATGAGATGGCCACACGTTTCCACATACTCTCCCACCAACGCCAGAAGTTCAATCAGCCACCAGAAGCCTGCCTGTCCAAGCTGACATAGTTCCTCCACGCCCCACAGTCCCAAGCCTCTGCGCTTATCTGTCTGACTTCGTTTTCGGCCCAGCCGATGACGACCAGGGGACCTGGGATCTCTGCGTCCACTATCCCGAGTATCCTCCTTGGTCAAAAAGCGGTGCCTCTGCCTTCGGGATGGGGGTTTCTTTCCACTGGACACACGTGAACAATCACTGGGAAATTTGAGAGGTTCCTCGTCGTCATACTCCTCTTCTAGCTCTTCATCTTCTCCCAAGGCTGGGGAGGTGCAGCAGCGGCAAAAGCTGCCATCTCCTTCCTCAGAGGACGTCCCTTCGGGAACTCCAGGGCTCCCCTGGCAGGTACAAGCAGATGGAACGGAAAGAAAAGGCGGGCTCCCGTCCTCCTGGGACCCAGTCTCGTTCTCTCTGGAGAGCTCCTGGTCCGCTCCTGACTCTTCCGAGGACGCCTCACTCTCTTCAGGGTCGCCTCCTTCCCTAGGTGGTCCTGGGCCCCTCGGAGGACCATGGCTTGGATCCGACCAGTGGGCTGGGCTTGGGGGCTGTGTGCACTTAGAACCCGAGTGCTCTGTGAGGCAGCGTGTCCCATTGGGAGCAGTCTCTACTGAGTCCCTGAGTCCTGAGAAGGAGAGTATTTCAGGGTCCACAGAGGGTCCTGATGTCCTGAAGGAGGTTCCACACAACCCTCCTTCTCCGGGGTGCTTCTGGGCCATGACCCCGGGGCTTCCTGAGGAGTTTAGGTCACGGCCATTGTGGTAAGTTCTACTGCCTGCAACAAAGGTATCAAGTTGGGAACGGTCAAGGATAGGACCCAGGGAGAAAGTTAAACAATGTACCCAACTCCCTCCTTACCGCGTAAGCGCAAAGTCTTTGGGGACAATCGCTCACCCTAACAATAAACCCGAATCTGACTGACCACCACCCTGCTTGCACCAACCCCGACCTCAGAAACCCCCTCACCCCCGAAATCTTTAATTTCTCTTTTTTTCCTCAGGAGAGCCAAACTCTTCAGTCTGGAGAAATGGGGGGAAGGGGGGTTTACCGCAAAGGGTGTGGTCGGGGGGGGTACTCTTAGGAAAAAGAGACTGTCTGAGAGAGAGAGGCCGCAATCTGTCAGAAAAGGGTGGGGACAGTGCAGCCGAAGGGGAAAGGCTGGGGGCGGAGTCTAAGGAGTCCCAGCAGAAGACCCCCCGAGAACCCACCGCCCGGGTCCCAGGGGCAAAGGCGACGTACCGAAGAGCGGCGGTAACTCCTCCCCCTCGAGCAGCTGCGCCTGAGGCCAGGGGGAGCTACGAGAGCAGCTCCCCCGGCTCCGCCTCCCGCTCACGCTCCACTTCCGCCTTCCGTCCCCGCCGCGGCCGCCTACTTCCACTTCCGGGGTCACCGAGGGAACAGACGGGAAGGAAAGAGAAAAGCGGTTGGCGGGGATGCGAGCCGGCGCCGCGAGCGCGGAGTCAATCGAGGGGGCGGTGCTAGAGCGCCCTGGTCCCGCCCCTTAAAGGGCCCCCGGCCAACGCGGCGCGAGCCACACAGGTCGCGCAGCCGCGAGTGTGCGGGCGAGCTGTCCGCCGAGGCCGGCGGGCTGTGTTCCCCGTCACTGCTGAAGCCGGAAGATGCAAGGCAGCCGCCAGTCCACACATAGTCTGTGGCTTGCAGACAGACAGCCAGAGCACGCAGGGGAGCCAGCGCCCACACCCTTCCCTATCGGCCGCCCGGCCAGACAGGAAGAGAAGTGTGTGTCCCGGACTAAGTCGCCCCCTGATTACACGCGACCCAGCAGGCGAGCTCCCACGCCGCTGACCCGCCCCCTGTGAACGCGGCGCCTGGGTCGGGCTAGGGAGTACGGCCAGGGGATCCCGAGCGTGGCTCCGCGGGGCTCAGAACCCGCCGAGAGCGACAGAACCCCGCTCTCCTCTGCGGGCTGCCTTGCATCTCATTTACATAATGAGCTTCGGGTCCACACCCGCACGCGCCCCCACCGCTTCGCAGACCCTTGTGGGTCCTCTCCTGTACACACGCTCCTGAAGCCTTACAGTTCTGTCATTGTCCCTGCCAGGCCCGTCTTGCTCCGCAAGTTTTTTCACCCATGAACACCCCCACCAGCACTGGCTTTAAAAAAAAAAAACCGTCCCCGCATCCCGGATCCCGACCACCCGGTTCTCCAGGAGACAATACTCCAATTCTCTGGGAAGTGGGAGAAACCAAGCTGGACCTGGGGGTGCGTTGGGACCCCACTGGGGCTTCGAAGACGTCAAGTTGTCGATTAATCTCAGCATTCGGACGCCTTCCTTCTTACTCTTGATGGGCATCCCAAATCTCTCATTGCTGTGGTTAGCGGGGGGCCTGGGCCCGGATTAGAAAAGTAGGTAGCCTGGGTTCCCCCACACACAGGGGTAAAGATTGAGGGGGTCCGCCCCGTGATGTCATCCCCCACCCCACACACACACCCTGTCTCCTTCCTCCGTACACACCCCTACCCCCAAGCTAGTTGCTTTTAGCTCACAGGATTTGGGTTCGGACTTGCAGGAGTTCAGGGAGCACAGTGGGCCTGAGGGGGAGGGTGCCTGCGGGCTACGGCCACCCCTGCGCCTAGGACCTGTGGGCTGGGATGAAGCCGGAGGTCTAAGCGATTGCACCCCTTTGCTCTCCTCAGCCCCGGAGGGTGGTGAGTAGTTAAGACCCTCCCTAACCTCTCCTTGTTTAGGGTCCCAATCTCTTAAGCGTTTGAGAAGAGCCCCGGGAGTTCTCCAAACGAGCCCCTTAGCCTAAGACCTCACTATCCAAAAGACAGAAAAAGAAAAGTGCCTCGGCATCACACCACTCCCTCAGTTTCCCAGTGCCAGCCTCTCCTCAGGGACGCTTCCGGATCAGAATTCAAATCCTATTGGCAGCCCAGGCATGCCAGGGTGAGAGGGTGGGTGGAACAATTCCCCTGCGCGTCTGAGGCGAGTAGCAAGTGGACACCAAGATGTGAGACGTCCGTGGACAAGGCGCCTGCTTACTCCACGTAGGGCTGTGTGCGACTTTCCCCATGCAACTCCGTCGCGGCATGAAGTCAAGACTTCAAAGTCTTGACAGGGTGCCTGGGTGACTCTTGATCCCTTATCTGAAACTCTTTTAAATGTCTCTTCCCTTTCTTCCTTGGGGGTTGCATTTAGCTCACAGGAGGATTTGGCCTCCAACTTGCAGTTTAGGGAGCAACAAGTATAGTGGGGGGGTGCCTGCAGCCAGTGGCCACCCTGTGTCTAAGACTGGGCTTGGATGAAGCTAGAGGACTAAGTGATTCCACCCCTTTGCTCTTCTCAGCCCTGGAGAGTGGTGATCAGTAGTCCTGAGACCCTAAGATGACTCATTCTCTGTCTTCCTTCCTCTCCCCATTTTATTAACCCTGCCCTGTCCGATTCAGCAGAGGGGTTGGCTGCAGATGAGACAGGAGTTGCTTTTTAGTTGGAACAGTCTTTTTGTTTTGTTTTGTTTTTAAGAAATGGAGGTACAGAATCCTCAAGGTTCATGGTTTCTGCTCTCTGTTCTCTTCCAGGCTTACCAACCCCAACAGATAGTTATGGGTGGATGAGGGAGGCTGACTCCAGCCCTCCACTGGGTGACCATCTTCCCTTCTACCATGGAGAAAACCGTGTTGCCCCTGGCTACAACATCTGACCCAAGACCCATGCATCAACAGCTCCCCGAACCTCCGGACCTGAGATGTGTCCTGAGACCCCAGGACAGCGTTGAATTGGCCCCGGCCCTTGTGTGTGCCCTTTGCTGCTGCTTTGGAGTCATCTACTGCTGCTTTGGTGAGGGCAGGGCCTGGGGGCAGCAGCCTAGGACTGTTATCCTCAACAATGATGTCCTCTTTCTCCCTTGCTCCTGGGCCACCTCACCTCTGGCTTCCACCCCTGTCTCCTGCCTCAGAGTTCCCCTCCCAGGCATCCTCCCCACCAGAGACTTCAACTTTCCCCAGAATCTGAGTCAGTCTGGTGATTTCCTATTTACCATTCCTGGAGGAGCTAAACATCGTCCTATCTATTTTCTTTCTTTCTTTCTTTCTTTCTTTCTTTCTTTACTCATTGGAGACAGGGTTTCTCTGTATTGTTTTGGAGGCTGTCGGTCCAGCCCGGCCTCGAACTCACAGAGATCCACCTGCCTCTGCCTCCCGAGTGCTGGGAGTAAAGGCGTGCGCCCCCACCCTGCTCGTCCTGTTTTCTCTCCACAGTGCATCCACTCTACCTCCTGATTTCTCCACCCATCCCCCTCAAGAGTTTCTGAATGCCCTTGCTCTGTCACTGGGCTTATCCTTTCCTTCCCCTTGCCTTGAGGTCCCACGGTATGCCGCTCCTAGCTTCTGTTCCTTTGGTTAGCTGTTCCTTTCCCAATACACTAGAACCATCCCTGTAGGACCCCCTTCTGCCTCTCAATGCCTCCTGCCTCCCTTCCCAGGCTACCGCTGCTTCAAGGCAGTGATGTTTCTCTCCGGTCTGCTGTCAGGCGCCCTGGTGATCTTCCTACTGTGCCACAAGGAACGGGTGCTGGAAACACAGTTGAGCCTGGAGGTGAGCGCAGGCATCGCACTGGGTATCGGACTGCTCTGCGGCCTGGTCACCATGCTGGTTCGCAGTGTTGGGCTCTTTCTGACTGGCCTCCTGCTAGGTCTGACCCTGGGCGCTGGAACCTTATTAGGCACCGAACCCATCTACCAGCCGCATTCAGCCTGGGTGCCGATCGGTGGACTGATGGGGCTGGCACTGCTGGGAGCCCTGCTCACACTCCGGTGGCCACGCCCGTTCACAGTTCTGGGCACAGCTCTGCTTGGTGCTGCGGTGCTGGTGGCCTGTGCTGACTACTTCTTGGAAGGGCTGGCCCTGGGCACTCGGCTGGGCGAACGCCTGCAGGCACTCCCAGAGTTGCTTCCTCTTTGCTGGTATAGCTGGGTCTTACTGGGCACCTGGCCCATCTTGGGGGCTCTTGGGACACTGGCCCAGTGGAAACTCATGACTGAGGAACGTGGAGGCCACACCAATGGTGAGTTAGTGCTGTGGTAAAAAGCAGCCAACCTGCCCCTACTGCTATCCCTGATTCCTACACTTGAGGGGAAGTCGAAAGATTGAGACAGATGAGGATTGGGGAGGATTCCCTAGTGAAACAGAGCAGGCACTGAAGGAAAGTTAAAGCCGAATAGCTGAAGGAAGTCTGGGTAGAATGAGAAGAAAAATTGCCAGGAGGTATGGGGAAGAGTTATGATAGGGTAGAGGAATCCCATAGAAGGATAGGTGGAAAATGTATAAGAAATCTAATAACTGAAGGGAAGTTGAGGCTGGTCTACAACAGGAAGGCCAAGTGGATTTCTATGGAGTTCGGTTCTGTTTGGAGTTGGTATTCAGGACCTAAAAAGGCCGCCTTGAATCTGTGTTGCCTCCTCCCCAACAGTGGTCTTGAGTCACCAGCGAAGGCATCTCCAGCTCCTCCGGATCCATCAGCAAGAGGCTAAGTGGCATCGGAACCCTTCTGGAGTGGGACTGTGTGGAAGCAGCTATCGGAGTCAGCTTCCTCCCAATATCCAGAGCCCCGGTGACAGTCTGGCCCCGGTGAGTGGGAGAGTGGGGCACACCGGGGGAGGATGGGTCAGAGGGCATACAGTGATGACCAGGACGAGCTGAGGGCTCTGACCCAGAACCCCACTTCTGTCTGCCCTGTGTCCATTCAGTTATCTCCAGAGTCTCCATGAGTGCCAGCTGGAACCAAGCACCCGGCCACAGGCCCCGCACGGTCCTGGACCTGGATCCTGACTGTAGCCCCACCCTCCTCCGCATCACACCTTCCCACCCCGCCCAGGCCTGAGCCTCAACTCCAGTGATACCTGGACCCTAGGGAGGGCAGGAGGCTGCTAAGTGAGAGATCGCTAAGCGGATAGGGGGCCTGAGCCCACACACACAAACACATTTCCCTACCTCTTGGACTCAGGGATAGGCTTTGTGCCCAGACCAATCCTTTTAGAGACAGGCAGAGAGTATCCTTATAAAGATGGGGGAGAGTGGAAATACAAGCACCTACCTTAGTACAGGTGCCCTGGTCCCTAGAGACACTGACTCCAAACCAAGGAGGTTTGCCCAAAACAGCTTTTTAAAAAAATTCCTGTAATGCTGAGATGGAACCCCCAAGTGTTGCTCATAGTAGGCAAGCATTCTACCACTGAATTACAACCCACCCCCAAATACCCATGTAAATGTCTCAGTGTTGTGCCTTACCGTGGTAAAACATGGGCCTTTATTGTAGGACCTATAGAAAACTGGGTAGTTTGGGGGTAGGGAAAATGGCACAGAAGAACTCCAAGACCCCCAAGCCTCCAGGCTCCTTATGGGTAACTGGGCTTCTGGACAGCCTTTCTCCATGAACCCCATAGTCTTGAGTCCCCTCTACCTCAGTGGGGAACACAGTCCTCCATGGTGCTTTCCCCTCTCTCTTCAATGAGGGAAGACTAAGAATGTGCCTCAGCTCCCCTCTCTCCAAAAGCTGGCTCCGTGCTCCAAGAAGAGAGCATTGGCTCCCATGGCTGATTCTTGCCTTTTTGCCCAGAGGAGCCTGGACTTGAGGGCTTCGTGGTAGTCAAGTGCCTTCTGCCTCTCAATGTAGGTAATATCAGTTTCCTCCTGAACCATAGTTTGGGCCCAGCCAGTAACCCGTTCTAACTCTCCCTCCTCTAACTCTCCTGAGCAAGGGCTGACTCCTGGTTTCCCAGACAGTATGAAGGAAGACATAATCCCTCCCCTGAGCAGCAAGTCTGTGATGAGAGGGAGAAAGCACGAGGGAACATGGGAATAAAGTGGCACTGAAAATTCAACTGGGAAGTTGAACCTCCGTTGATGCTTTTTACTTTCTTTGCTCCACAAAACAAAGGTAATCTGTCACCTAAAGATCTGCTATGGCACCTTTATCATATACACTATATATATGATGTGTGTGTGTGTGTGTGTGTGTGTGTCATATGTACACCCAGACAGCACAGTTCTCTCTCAGAAACATGAGATTTTATTAAATACAAATGTGTCAGCCGGGCGTCCAGCACTCGGGAGGCAGAGGCAGGCGGATCTCTGTGAGTTCGAGGACAGCCTGATCTACAAGATCGAGTTCCAGGACAGCCTCCAATACAATACAGAGAAACCCTGTCTCGAAAAACCAAAAAAAAAAAAAAAAAAACCCACAAATGTGTCAGACTCCATCAGACACTTCACACATAATATTTCATCTAACATAACAACCCTATTACATTGATATTAACCTTATTTTTGTTAATAGAGAATCCAAGGTTTTACAAGGTAAATTAACTTGATGAAAGCTACAGTCAAATGGCTCAAAAAGTCCAAAGCCGGCCGGGCGTTGGTGGCGCACGCCTTTAATCCCAGCACTCGGGAGGCAGAGGCAGGCGGATCTCTGTGAGTTCGAGGCCAGCCTAGTCTACAGAGCGAGTTCCAGGACAGCCTCCAAAGCCACAGAGAAACCCTGTCTCAAAAAAAAAAAAAAAAAAAAAAAAAGTCCAAAGCCAGCTGGGCAGTAGTGTCACACGCCTTTAATCCCAGCACTCAGGAGGCCGAGGCAGGCGGATGTCTGTGAGTTCCAGGCCAGGCTGGACCGACAACCTCCAAAACAATACACAGAAACCCTGTCTCGTAAAAATCAAAAAAAAAAAGTCCAAAGCCCTTGCTCAGTTTACTGGCTGTGCTGTTTCTTGCCCTCTATGTTGGAAAGAACAGAATCCAGGTATCCAGTAACCTATCTGTTGCCTCCTGTCAGCTAAAAACTGGCAGGCATGGTAGTACATGTCTTAAGTCTTTAAGAAAAAATAGAACACAAGGGCTAGAGAGATGGCTCGGCAGTTAAGAGCACTGGCTGCTCTTCCAGAGAACCTGGGTTCAATTCCCAGCACCCACATGGCAGCTCACAGCTGTCTGTAACTCCAGTTCCAGAGGATCTAACACCCTCACACAGGCATACTGTCAGGCAAAACACCAATGCACACGAGACAAAAAATTAAAAAAAAAAAAAAAGAACACTAGCCAGGCATGGTGGCACACGCCTTTAATCCCAGCATTCAGGAGCTCCAGAGGCAGAGTATGTGAATGTCTGTGAGTTCGAGGCCAGCATGGTCTACTCAGAGTGTTTTAGAACAGCAGCCAGAGCCGGGCGTTGGTGGCGCATGCCTTTAATTCCAGCACTCGGGAGGCAGAGGCAGGCGGATCTCTGTGAGTTCGAGGCCAGCCTGGTCTACAGAGCGAGTTCCAGGACAGCCTCAAAAACAATACAGAGAAACCCTGTCTCGAAAAACCAAAAAAAAATAATAAAAAAAATAGAACAGCAGCCAGTACTATGTAGAAAGAAACCCTGCCCCCCCCAAAAAAGAACCCGATTGACAATTTCCGTCCACCGGAAAATAGATGACACACTTGAAAGAGCTATATGACAAAGAGAAATTGGAATTGGGAACTGAATTAGAAACAAGAAACAGGAAAGTGGTGTCCAGAATTAGAATATGTAGTGGCGTGAGGTCTATGGCTAGCGCCAACACTGTACCATCGGCACAGTCCTAATGAGCAGACATCAGTTAGTTCTTAGGCCCCTGGCGGGGTGACATCAGCAGGAGGGAGTGAAAGGGTAGCAGAATCTACAGCTGAGGGAGTAATGTCCAAGACTAAGTCTGCGGCTGAGGGAGTGGTATCCAAGATTGTGACTGTGCTTGAGGGAGTAACGTCCCCAGGTAACGAGTTAGTGTCCGGGGTCTGAGGACGACAGTGCATCCAGTGTGTGACGTTTCTGGGATAGCCCTTTGCCACTCGAAGCTGCTGGTTAAGACGCCAATACTCTTTGCCCTTGAAGAAGTAGACTTGGCCATCTTGCCAGCTCATCGCTGCTGAGGGTCGGTCTGGCACTCCAGTAAACAATTCCTTAATCGGTTTGGGGTAGCGGCTAAAGTCAGTTCTGGCCAGCTCGTCCCATTGCCAGTACCCTGAGCCCTAATTTGGGGGGGTGGGAGGAAGAGAATGAGAGAGCTTAGGAACTCCAGAGGCTGATCCAAACTGTAGAAGGTACCCCGTTAAGGGTGAGGCTTTGCCCTTCAGAATGAGTTAGCCTGCCCATCCTCAAAAGAGGGTGTCCCCAACTTTGCTATACCTTAAAAAGGAACACCTTTTGATTAACAGGCCAATAGAGCGCCGCGTCCAGGTTGGGTTCTACCCTGTTGAGTTTCATGGGAAAGCCAGGAGACATCCTGAAGCCCACGTATCGCCACACCTTGTTTCCTGAGAATGGCCAAAGGAAGAACAAGTTGTTGTCATCAGATAGAGGCTTCTGGTTCCTCTATCCCCTTCTTGGAAGCTTCTCAATGCCTCCTCCCATTCACAGCCTTTTGATGACCAGGACCTTAGATAAGACCTGAAAGTACCACACTTACCCTTGAAGAAATGAATCCACCCTGTTCTCGGAGAGTAGACAGCAGCATCTAGGTTTCCAGGGAGCCCCTCCCAAAGAGCAGACACTCGAAACAAGGGGCCTGGCCCTGAATCCGTTACCGTCCACACATAGTCCCCCTTGAAAGCATAGGTCTTCCCTCGAGGCCCTGAGAGCAGAAGCGTGTTAACATGTTTGAGAGATAGTGAATGACTCATGAGTATCTCAGGGGGTTTCCTTTCTGGCCACTGATGGGCTCTTCAAAAAGTCACTCAACTTCCAAAGGGCAGAGAAGGAAGACACGGTGTATCGCCTTTGCTGTCCCCGCCCTTCCAATCAGCTGTTCCTAGTGGAGACCTAGTGCCCATTCCAGGTTAAAATCTCACAACCAGGTACAGAGTCCTTTCTAACAGGCATTGCAGCCGATTCCAGCTTGCTAGGCTTCCACTTTTTTGTGGTTTTTTTGAGACTGGTTTCTCTGTATAGACCTGGCTGTCCTGGAACTCACTCTGTTGACCAGGCTGGCCTCCAACGCACAGAGCTCCACCTGCCTCTGCCTCCTGAGTGCTGGGATTAAAGGCCTTGGAGTCAGTGGACCGCCCCCACTGCCTGTCAACAGCCTGTCGGGAAGGACCTCACCCAGCATCATGGCATCCAGCTCAGTGCTGCAGGGGTTTGGCATAGGACTGGGTTTTGTGGTCACTGGTGACACAGTGCTAAGCCTGATCTCTTCCTCCTCATCTTCTGCCTCGGGGTTCTTCTTGCCTGAAAAATGTAATAAGGCAATGTAGGTAAAGAAGTCCAAACACTCAGCTTCTCTGTCTGTCTCCTGTAAGTTCTGTTCCATGGCCCCAGAGAGAGGGAAAGGGGAATTAGAAGGAGTTTCCCTTTGTGGTCAGCAATATGCAGGAGCCACAGCTTGGTTTTGAGAAGCACCAGAGAGAAGGAAGTTTCCTAGAATGTATATTCTGCATTTTCAGGATGGGGTTCCCAGGCATAGTGGTGCACTCCTTTAAACCCAGCACTAGGGAGCAGGTGGCTGGCTCTTCATGACTTTGAGTCCAGCTTGGACTACATAGTAAGTTCCAGACCAGCCAGGGACACAAAATAAAGACCCTGTCTCAAAACAACAAACAACAAAAACAAAAGAATTAGGGTGTGAGGGGAGAAAGGCCAGGAAGGAAGATCAGACATAAATGAGTCAAAAATAGAGACAGTTTTTGAAGATGAATAGCTTGAAGAACTGGGCAGAGGAAAAGAAAAAAAAAAGCCATTTCATTCCATGAAAGCTAGCATTGTCTCCTTGAGCTTGGAGAGATATTAGTCAGACTGCCTCTTATGCTCACCATAGAGAGCCTGGATCCCTGCCACATCGTCCGGGTGCAGCCTGAAGTAGGGCTGGTAGCCCGCATAGACAGGAGCCATGAGTGCCTGGGTGTACCGGGAGTGCCCAAGGCCCAAGGCATGGCCCACTTCATGGGCGGCAATGATGCGCAGGTTCACTCCTTTGTAGGTGCCCTCAGTCCAGAATTCATCATTATCGAAGTGCACGCTGCCGAGTTCTGGGATGTCAGCATGGGCCAGGACCTTCCCTGGACAGAGGCAAAGGTACACAGAGCATCATTTGCCTGCTATGCACTCAAGCTACTTCAAGTGAGGTAACACAGCCGTGATCACGGCACTTGGAAGGTGGACCTAGGAGGATCAGAAGTTCAAGATCAGCCTCAGCTGCCTAATGGGTTTTATGTCAGCTGGGCTACACGGCCACAACCAACTTATGTGCTTCTTTCAGATTTCCCAGGCATCCCCAGCCACTCCTCTCTGACCCGGTCCCCTTGCAGGGAGAGGAAATGAAAGCCGTGCATCGGAGTGAAAGAGGAAGACCAGAGAGACGGCTCAGAGGTTAAGAGCACTGGCTGCTCTTCCAGAGTCCTGAGTTCAATTCCCGGCACCCACATGGTGGCTCACAGCCAACTGTAATGAGATCCGGTGCCCTCTCCTAGCCTGCAGGGAGAGATAGGCAGAACAGTTCTCTGGGTAATATTAGAAGGTCAGAGTGCAGGGTATCATTGGGCAGACCTACCAACCTAAACCTTAAGATCTCAGAATCACTGGCTCAAGGAGACACTTTGTTGTTGAGGTCCTTTAAGCTGAGAGTTAAGAACCAGTGCGTACCAGGTCCATCAAAGGAGTTGGAGCAGTATGGGCTATGGCGGCCATGGAAGGAGAGGCGGATGTCAGCCCAGCCAGCCTTCACCTCGCGGAAGGTCAGGGGGGCCACGCTGCTCCAGTACTTAAAGGCTTGGTGCAGGGCTGCCCTGGCTCTGGAGGGTGAGAGGGTGGAGGGCAGGTTCAAGACGCGGTACGTCAAGTGCTTCTTTCTCCAGCGGCCTGGTTAAG